TCGTGGGAGCATATGCACAGACCTTACCCTCTGCCAATTTTATACCAGATTAAAGCATAAATGCATCAAGAACATGCCTTGACATAATTAAAAGCATTTCACCAAGAGGGAAACAAAGCTAAATGTGTCTGAATTTATCCAAAATCAGCAGATGGAGCTAAGGGAATTAGGACGGTTTATGTCACATCTACAAAAGAAAACGGAATTTGGCTTTTCAGGGCTATCCTCTCTCATTCGGGGCCAAGTGAGGTGCAGACTCCCCTCCGGATCAGCGCCCCGTCCGTGAGCATCCCGTGTGAAGTGAGGTTTGTCTGCAGGTCGTGGAGGGAAGGCAGTCATTTAGCAAGGCTCTGCTCTTGCCTGAGCAAGGAGCCTCCAAGGCAGTTTTGATCCATTGATGAGCGCTGTCTAATCTGCTCCCCGAGGTACCGTTTCCCTAAATCTATTAGACTTTTACAGTCTTCCAGGATCTGCAGCCTGGAGTTGCTCCATCACACTGTATTAACTTGACAACCTAATGTACTGCTATCTTTTACTTTCATAGGAAGTACTAGGTTTGACCTTGAAACTCGGAGCACGCTTTATAATCCTCAGCCTGTCCTGGCGAAGAGGGCCCTCTAGGAAAAACGTCCTGGCCCGGTCGGAGTCGCTAAGACCTTGAATGCAAAGTGCTGGACTGGTGTTGTAAGGGGGCAGGTGGGCCTGCAGGGGTCCTGGCAGCTCCGCCTGGGTCCCCAGGAGCAAATGGGAAGGACGAGGCCCAGGTTCCATCAACAGCCTCGCTGCGTTGCAGTGAGCTCTCAGCGGGGGCCCGGCACTGTGCTGCACACGGATTACCCTCGTAGCCCCTGGCAGGTGGAAGTCACCTGAGCTCATGCATGATGAAACTGGGGCTCGGAGAGGTCAGGCGACTCACCTGGGGTCGCCCAACCAGCAAGTGGCAGAGCCTGGACCAAAGCCAGGTCTTTTAGACTCAGAAGCCAGAGCCTTTATGCCTGCTGCTCTGAGAGTTACAAGTTCACTCCGTGTTCCCGGGAGGGGCAGCAGGCCTGGGCTCTGCTTGTCCCACCCTGGGCCTTTGAGTGACATCGCTCAGCTCCTCCCTCCACCTGCCGTGAGCCAATGGCTGGGCACTTCTACCCCAGCCCTTTCCTAGGCACATGGTCTCTCCGGGAGACAGGTGGCAGTGCAGCAGGGTTTCCTACCTGCTCTGGGGCAGCCCAGGAGCCCCCTCAGGAGTGGGAAACTGAAAGGGGCCCAGAGGGTGCCTCCTGGGTGCTGAGCCCACTGGGGGCCACTGTTGTTTCGCTGGGCCCTTTGGCTGCTACTCAGTCTCCCAGGGGATTTCTGAAAGTGCCCAACCTCAGCTGAGAGTAGCCATTTGGATGGCGAGCCGAGGTCCCTGGAGGCCAAGAAGAGGGTAGGCAGTCACCCAGCTGATGGAAGACGAGGACATCAGCTGGGGGAAGCCTTGTCGAGGCCCCAGGGGGTGTGCCCAAATCTGCTTCCTCCTGCGAGTCATAAACGCTTTAATTATTGAAGAATGGTTCTTGCGTCTGGCCAATTTATCAGCCTCTGGCAAGAAGAAAGAGTCCACTGGTCATGAATCCTGCATGATTACCAATAAGAAAGACATAAAATGACACCTTGCTGAGGAATGCGTCTGGCTGGGCTCTGGCCAAGGCAGACCTGTGGCCGGACAGGCCCGGGTTCACTCGGATCACCGCAGGCGGGAGCTCCGCTCCTTCGAGGCAGCCTTCGTGGGCTCACCGTACACGGGCAAGGATTATGTGGCCACGAGCATCCTCCAGCGAAGGGCTCCCCTCCCTGCACCTCCTGTGTGTTCTGCCGGGGGGACCGGAAGCCAGGGTGCCTGGGTTCAAATCACAATACAAACAGTCCCTGAAAGCCTACCAAGTGCTGAATGGAGAAGCGGAATGGAATATTACTCACCCATGAGAAGGAGCGAAGCACATTACAAGGAGGAAACCCTGGGAACACTCTCGGCACACGAAGCAGGCGCACACCAGGCCGCACTCTGGATGAGAGAGGTCTGGGACAGGCAGGAGCACAGAGACAGGGCCAGACTGGTGGTTGCTGGGGCACCGAGGAGCAGCTGCTGCAGGGTGAGGGGTCTCCCTCTGGGGAGATGAGAATGCTTGGCAACTGGACGGAGGTGGGGCTGGCTCAACATTTGCAAAAGGACTAAATGCCGCCAAACGGCCACTTGAAAATGGGGAGTTTTATGTTGTACGAGTTCACCCCAGTAATAAAAAAGGAAGAAAAGCAAAACCGAGTCACCGCGCTGTTACATGCACATCTTGGGGCATGCATTAGACCGGGGAGCGGCCAGCGCCCCCTAGGGCAGGCTGGTAATGGGCAAGGCCTGTGCTCCTGGGAAGTCCGCACACAGCTGGGTCCACCACCTGCCCCCGCGCCTGCCTTCCTGAATGCAGAGGCTTGGCCAAGGGTCCAGGAGCCCTCTGTCTGGGACTGAGAGGAAGACCAGGACGTGGAGCGGGGCCCCGCCTCCTCTGAGGCGTGCTGCGTCCGTGCCGGTGCCGGCCGCCTCTCTAGTGTTTGTTACTGAGGAGAAGAAATGCGGATTTGTGTTAGCCCAGAGAAGCAGTTGGCGGCAGAGTGTGCATGAGCCCTGAGAGACTTGCAGTATGGTGGGGGTGGAGCCAGAAATCATCACAGCAGTTCCACACGGTCAGGACAGCA